AATTTTATAGAAAATTCCAGGCATACACAAAAATAGGTAGGATAGCCATGTAAATGCCCATGTATCCATCTCCAGGCTGTAAACAATGCTCAACTCGTTGCCAGTCTTGTTTCTTCTGTGCCCCCACCCACTTCTCTCCCTCTTGTATTATTCTGAAGTCTATCGCAGACATCATGGAAACTCACCTGGAAGCACTTCAGGGTGAGTTTCCGCAGTGCTCCTTTATCTCCGTGGCCCGCCCACATCCCTCCTGACTTTTCACTTCAATGTGCCTGACTGACTTCCAGCTCTCACTCTCTGCATCTCCTGGCTTAAAGCCTTTCTTCAAAAGTGAGGAAAGCTACTGTGCCCTGCTCACAACAGGCTAGAATTGCCAGTGTAATCAGTGCCCTCCACCAAGGACTAACGGGTGTGAAGAAATAAACGCCCCCCCCACATCCCTCTTGTGAGATGACTCGGGGGCACGTGTTTCACCACTTTCCCCCAAGTCTCCTGGTGGGATACGTTCCCTTTGCCCGCCGGGATAGCTGACTCGCTAACAGCCCCTGTGTTATCTGCGTTCCCTCCTGGTCACGTTTGCTCACTCCTTGTATCAGTCTGTGAGGGCTTTATAACAAAGCACTGTAAGCTGACCAACTTAAACAGCAGAAGTGTATTTTCTCACAACCCTGGAGGCGAGAAGTCTGAGATCAAGGTGCTGGCTGGGCTGGTTTCTTCTGAGGTCTCTCTCCTTTGTTTTCAGATGGCTGTCTTCTCCCCAGGTCCTCGTGTGGTCTTTTTCCCTGTGTGTATCTGGGTCCTAATCTCCTCGTCTTATCAGGACCCAGTCATATTGGAGTAGGGCTCATGTATATGACCTCATTTTTACCTAAATCACCTCTTTTAAAGGTCCTATCTCCAAAAACAGTCACATTCTGAGTCAAGGCGGGGTGGTTAAGACTTTAACATATGAATTTGGGTGGGGCACAGTTCAGCTCAGAACACTCCCTTACTGGTGTTTACTGCACCTCCCAAATGAAACACTTCCTCTCAAATCCTTATCTCAGGGTCTGCTTCTGGGGGAACTCAAATGAAGGAAATCTCTAAAAGAAAAACTCTTGGAAAAAAATAACCACGTTCCCCCCAGTACATCCTTGATAGCCACACTTCAGGGCTTTACCTTGTATTATCTTGTATTATTGGCTCTTTACAGGTGCACCTCCTCACAGTGATGGCCGGGACCACATCATAGTTCCTATCCATTCTAAGCAGTGCCTTGGATGTAGGAGGTACCAATACTGCTTGATTTGCTTAAGTCAGTGATGTTATTCCTAATATTCCTTGGAGACTGGGTTATAATAGAATAGCAAGGAAGCAAACAAAAATCCTAAATAACAAATAAAAGCGTTTGTTCTCTAATAATGTAAAATCCCTGCCTGCTGAGTCCATTCCCAGCAATCTGTACAAATGTGAGATCCTTAGCACTGAGTCAGGCACACAATGCTTGTTGACCAAGTTAAGATTTTAATGATTTAAATTAGAGGAATATACAGCATCATCACCTGAAGTTGGAAGATGAGATCTCCATTCAAAAGCCTTTTAAAGTAGATACTAATTTATATAAAATATCTGCAGTCTGCTAGTGACACCTACTGGTGAGGATTAGCTAGTGTTCTAGAAACAAATTTATTTCTCAGTGCTTTTGAATGTTGATGGTTGCATAACAAGGGGTCTGTGTAAAGCATTAGTAAACAATAGAAATATTTGTATGGCATATAATTACAAGTTTCTTGTGAAAAGGACCCATTAGAAATTCAATCTCCTGAGCCTCAACTCAAAACTAAAATCAGAGTACTGTTTTAAAAAAAAAGTTAAATGAGCGTAACTGGATGAATGTGGGAAAGGTGCTTTATATAATAATCTTTCAACATTTCTCATAAAATCCAAATATTTTAAGTTAAAGTAATAAATCAACTGTACATTTTTTAAAGTAAAAGGTGAAAGATTTATTCGATCTGAAAAGAAACCAGAGTCAAATGTACAAATTTTAAATGCAAAAAATGCACTTACCAATTTTTGGTGTTGATCATACCCAGATGTTTCTAATTAACAGTACTGAAGTTCAGGGTCAGCTCAGCTGCCTTTCCATTTCCTCCCACAGCAACGTCTGGGTCATGCTGCAGTTTTACACCAGGTGAAAGAAACTCCACTAGAGGAAAAGCTAGTCCAGCCGTTCCTGCCTACAGTTAGTTATTCACAAATCTTTGCTTACACTTTTTGGTCCTTAGATGATCTCTATCCTAGGATCTAAGTTTATAAATTGAAAATTATATTGTAGCTTTTTAAAAAATCCCAGAAGACTCCAAAGAGAATGCATAAAGAAAGCACTCTGCTTGGCAATCAATCATCAAACTGTTTTTATCAAATAATCATAAATATTTCATCCATTGTGGAGGACACTTAGGTGGAGATCCCTGTAGGAGATTTGGAAAACATGAGATGCCTATCCTATTTTTCAGTTTCGGAATATTTTTCAATTTTGAAATGGCTTTCAGACTTATAGAAAAGTTGCAAGAAAAATACAAAGAATAACCAGATTCCCCAGTTGTTAACAGTTACTTCACTGGTTTTACTATTCTCTCTTTCTGAGTGTGTATTTTTTCTTCCTGAACCGTTGGAGAGTAAGTTCAGACATGATGCCCATAGCCCGAAATACTTCAGTGTGTATTTCCCCAAAATGAGGACATTCTCTTACAGTGTGATGACAGTACAGTTTTCATGTTCAGGAAATTAAAATGGATAGAATACTATTTTCTAATATAGAATCCTTATTCAAATTTCACCAATTATCCCAATAATCTCATTTATAACAAAAACAATTTGTTTTTCTGGTCCAAGATCCAATCAAGGATCAAAAACCTCATTTAATGATCATGCCTCTTTAGTCTGTAAGTGTTTTTCAGCTTCTGTTTCATAACCTTGACAGTTTGTAGGAGTACCAGCTGGTTATTTTGTAGAATGTTCCTCAGTTTGAGTTTATCTGAGGTTTCCTCACAGTTTGACACAGCAATGCATTTTTGGCAGGAATACCACAGAAGTGATGCTGTTTCTTTTCAGGGCACCAGGTTGTGAGACATGTCATGTCAATCTGTCCTACTCCTTGTGGTATTAACTTTGATCATTAAGGTGGTGTCTGCCAGGTTTCTCTGCAATAAAATTACTATTTTTCTCTTTGTAATTAATAAGCAGTTTGTGGCA